AGAACCCATAATGATGGAGGGATTTTCCAGACTGTATAGGAAATTTCTGCTTTAGCAGTCTGGCTATTTTCAGCTTCTGTTTTATTCACACATTCTTTGTTGATAATAAGCTCTTCCCAGAGGCTACTCTCAGTTGAGAACTGAGAAAGGACTATCTTACTAAATTCCAAGTTAAGCTGAATATTTTGGTAAGAAACTTTTTTAAAAAAGCAAAGATTATGAAGTGAAATTTTTTTTATTAAAACTATACTCCACTAAGGGCTGGGAGGAGAGCTCAGAGGTGGAGGTAGGTTTTCTCATTGGTAGCGAGGAGAAATATCAAGTCTCCATGATGCTGGCCATAAGTCTTCACAGTCCCGACATGATCTGCTGGTTAGTCAGCATTTAAAACAATGCAGCACATGACTAGGAAAGGTTTGCCCTTTCTTTTGTGTCCTTTTTTTCAAAGGTACACTTCAGAGCCCAATATGATACTTTAAGTGCAAACATTTACTTCTCTTTATGATTAGCATCCTTATGCTTGTAAACTCAGACTGTCTGATGGGGGAAAGAGGAAATCCCATAGGACAGCATAGCATACCAGAAACCAGGAGGAATTCTTCATTTTCTAAATGCATTAAAATAAAATTTATAAGATATACTGTGTTTGCACTCTGTCAATTTTAAGTTTTTCCCCTATTTTTTCTGACTTCCTCACCATTTGTGTTGCTAATTTGTAATAGGAGTAATTCTGACTGCTGTGGTGAACCATGATGGATAACGCCATGTGTCGGAGGGGAGTTGTTCTCATTTCAGATTGGAAATGTAGGTGGCTTATTGCTTAGCACAGGGTAACTCGAAGTTTTTTTGAATTTTCTTGTGAATCTGTAGATAGAGAGCTGCTGCTGAAAGGGCTTACTGTTTCCTCCAATCAGGCACAAGCAAAAGCCACTGAATGTAAAACCAGGTCATTCTTCACCCATCGTATTTCTGGATGTTGTGCGACTCCGAAGGAAGGCACAGGTCTTGTGTGAGATGGTGGAGGCTACAGCAGGCAATGGATAGAGATAAAGGCAAAAGAGCCATCCACAATTTTGTGAGGTATAGAGAAAAAATGTATGCATCTAATCTGTCACACTTTGAGCTCTATACAGTTTCAGAGTACTTCATGTATCCCAGGAAATCTGCCAAGGGAGAGAGGAAAGGCTATGTGCCAGTTTATAATCCTATGAGCATTTATTGCATAGTTTTAGGTTGCTATTCTCACAATTCTCTTGCAGAATTTGTTAACTCTGAAGTTGAATGGCAAGTTGGATCTCAGTGTCGAGGGGTCTACCCGAGACATTATCCAGCATTTGATATTTCAACAGCGAAGGCAAGAAGCACTCCAACAGACATTCTAGATCTGAACCACATCTTTTAATGGCAACTTTTTAAATGCATTTCATCTTTAGTACTGCAGGAAAACATCTTCAAAAGTTTCCTGATTTACTATTCTATCTTAAGAACAAAGGGAGAAATTTATAGAAGATCAAACAGATAAAAATAGACTGAAAAGACAGCAGATGCTGTTGATTTACTCAAGAATTCAGAACCTTACATTTGGTTGCTGTATTGTTTGCTGATACCACAGTTTTAGTGATAATAACCTACATCCAAGCTGTACACATTATGAAGCTTTTTTTATCTCTAGTTTCTTGTGACAAGTACAAACAACTCAAATTGAGTTGCTTGCTTCATGTTTTGTCATCAGAAACATTCATGATGAGATTATCTGAGATTTATTCACTTCTCAGTTCCCATTCTTAATTGTCAGATGAGAGATGGGAAGGCACCATATGCATGATACGTCTAGGTATAATTCTTATAATTCTTTAAGCCTTGGCACAACACACTGTTGACCACAGACAAGTTGCTTGCCTTAAACTTCAGCATGTGATTATTCAAACATTCTCATAATGCATCTCTTCGTCTGCATGGAGTCAGAACTCTCAGCCAGCAGAACTGTTACTTCATATTGTTCGCTACCAGTAAAAGCTCAAATGGCGAAAGGGCAAAATTAAATTCTGAATAGAGACTGGCCTTGTCTCTTTTTTCCCCTTCATTTCCCCACAGTGTTTTTTCTGAGCTCTTAGGGCTGAAAAAGGCTAAACATGCTTTTTCTTCTTTGTTTCTTAATTATCTTTATGAACTGTCTGAATAGGTTAGTAGAGTACAATGAAAACTACGTCCTCCTTCCCAGGGAATGAGTGCTGCAATGCCCTTCTCCCAGGAAAAAGGTGCTGAGTTTGAGCATCCATAGACAGACATTTCGCTGGGCATATAGGGTTTTGTTTCTTTGATTTCTCCTCAATTCGTTATTTCAGAGTAGCCGTGTGTAGTTGGTTTTCCTAACGAACTGTGTCTAAAGTGATCCCATCCTTTATCCATCTGTCTCTTCCTAATGTCAACTTTTACTGCCTGTTTTCAACCAAATCTAACTCAAGGTTTCAAGATCGTAGAGACATTAAATTAATACATTTTTCATAAAGACAGATGATGAAATGGAGGAAAGATGGATTGCTAGCTCTCCAGCTTGCAGAGGTGAGCTCAGTCGTTACTTGGTGCTAGAGAATTTCCCCACATTCCCAGTCAAGGTGCTCGCCCCTGTGAGAAGCTGGGAGAGAACTGAACTGTCCTGATAGTTTCAGTGCTAACCAGAAATATGAAGGTCATTTGAACAGGACTCCTTTTTGAACATGAAATTGGGTATTTTTAATTTTTTTTCCCCTGGTGCAAGCAATGAGTGTGACCTAAACCTCAACTGCTAAGTGGAAGTCATCTCTTTTGGAGTTGAGGAGTGTATCTGCCAGCACTCATCCATCTACTCTAGAATCAACCCTCCTTCATTTAAGGCAACAGGAGCTTTGAACGATTGGACTGGCAAATAGTTAGATCCAAAAAGCACATCTTATGTGGTTATACCCTCCCCTGTGCAGCACTAGATTGATTTAGCTTAGTGTCAATAGGAATGAGAACCAAAATTGTAATATGTATTTGTTCTACCTTTTGTAATGCCATCCCTTCCTCCTCTATTTCTTTAGTGATGCTTAGAAAAGGCATTTCTTCTAGTCTGTGTGTGATACAGTAAATTATTAGTACTAAATTATTTTGACATATTAACAGCACTAAGGTCTATTAGGCTGAATTAACCTCTTTGCCCATCAACCCCAGCAAGTGGAAAAAGGTGGTCCTTTGGTCTAAATTACCTGCAGTACCCTTTACTTGAAGACATGAAAGTTATTTCCTTTACTGTTTTTTCTCAGGGAAGTATAATTCGTTTCTCTCCCTTTGACCTCAGTAACATCTTTCCTCCTGGAAAGAGAAGAAAAGCGGAAGGTATCTTCTCATAATTGTTTTTCTCCTCTCTTTTTCTGTCCTCTTTCTGGCTGATAGAGTAATATACTGACCCCATATTATATCCAGTGTCAACTCCCCTTCAGATAGAATTCATTCTTTTTTCAAAACCAACTCACAAATTACAAATTAAGTGATCACACAGTCTTACATCACTGGAAGGACAAGGCATAGCATACTTTTCATTTAATGTGCTAAACATCTTTTTGGTTTACTTCAGTTTTTTAATAAATGAGAAGCTACCCTGGAACAGTAGTCACTTTGGTGTCCTAATGATCATTAATATTGGAGAAAGAAGCTCTGTCATTTCACCTTGCTAAAATGTATTTTACCTCTGTGATAATATTAATTAGTACTTACTAGTAGTAGCTGTGAGTTAGCTTCATAGTGAAATTTTTTGTAAATGAAAATGTAGCATACTGGATTCGGTACTCAGCATTATTATTAGGCTGTGAGTCAGCTTGTCACATCTGAGAGGGGATCTTTTTCCACTACTGGTTTTCTATCACTCCACTCACCTGCAGTTTTGAGGAAGCACTGTTAAACGATCTGTTGGCCAGGTGAGACACTTGTACCGCTGTCTAGCTGTTCAGTGCGATGGGTGCCTTTCTGATTCCGTCAGCCATAGGACACATGCTCGCTAAAACTTACCGCTTTCTGCTTGGTCACAGGGAAGCTGGTTTTACGCAGCCAGCTGTTTGCACTGCCCCTGAATACAGAGAACCGTGTTCTTTAAAATTCTATTTGTCTTCATTCAGTAGCTGCATGCTCTATTTAAATCCTTTTATTTTTACTTGGCTCCATATGATCAAATATATACGGGATGTGGCCTTCATACACCACAAGATAAAGGATTCATCAGAGCATGAAGGAACATCCTAGCTACATCTTGTTAAAAAAGTGTGTGTGTGTGTGCGCGCGCAGGCATTGGTTATGTAACTGTCCTCGATGCGCAGCATCACTGTGTGCTGCTGGCCTGCCAGGTGCCTCGGAGGGAAGCACATACACCTATTTATACACCTATTTACAGTCTCACTTGAGGCACAGTATCATTAGAGGAACAAATTCGGTAGGTGAAATTAGTGATGTAACTGAAACGAAGGTGCTTATGAGCTTTTCGGAGTTTGCTGATAATGATCAAAAGTAAATAGCACTGGCATCTTGTTGCTTTTGAATTAGACATACAGATGTAATGGTTTTATTTATTTTCTGTGGCTCCTACAAGGCAAATGAAGTTGTAAGGTATGAATCCCTATTATTACATGCTCAGAAACAACTATAGCTGAACTAAATTTTTAGGGTTTAGTCAGTAAAATTGCATAAATTTAACTCTTATACAAAAGCTGAGAACTGAGGCACAATTGTGTCATCTTACAACTCCAACCACAACTTGATTGTTTGCCTTCATAAGATACATGTCGAGGTATCAGTTCAGTAATTCACATATGTGGATAAACACAGATTCCCTTTGCTTTCGTGCCCCTGAGGAAACAAAGCTGTGTTATGCTTTACTATATTGGGCATAATCCATTCTGTGAGCAAACTGATCACCAAGTTCATGAAAGCAAGCTATATGGATATTTACTTCCATGGGTTTTTTTCTTCCACAGAACGATATCACACCGTTGCATGTTGCATCGAAGAGGGGAAATGCAAATATGGTCAAACTCCTACTTGATCGAGGAGCTAAAATTGATGCCAAAACAAGGGTAAGCTTAAGTGTGAATGCTGTGAGTGACTGTGTGGAATTCTTGCCTTGCTGTACAAATCATTCATCTTCCTGGCAGGCTACCATAGCTGGACTGCATTTCCTTTTTATAAAATGGTTGCAGCAGGATGCTAACAATTTACATGTCTTAAAGCAGTGTGTGAAACACCATGTATGGCAAAGATCAGAACCAGCAATTTTTCATATTCTCTGTAGAGCATTTAATTAGGAGCTGCTTCTAGCTACTTGGGAGGTAGAGGTGAATATACAGGAAAATTCTAAAAGACAAGAATTCAATTCAGATATTTCAGAATTTAAGTACTAAAACCGTAACTTTGAACTGCAGTGTGTGTTTGCCTTTTGTTACCCACAGGGCAGTGTCCCAGAGCACCGTGTTGCTGATGAGTCTCATGCAGCTCAGCCTCTCTCTGACTGGGTGCTTAGCTGCTGGCTTGGATTTGTCAGCAAATGTGCCAGGCGTAGGGATCGTTTCCATCAGGTTGACACCTAACTCTATCCGCTGAGTGACTTAGAAGATTGATGCATACGGTTATATCTAATTGCTGTGGTTAAAACTCAACCAAACCAGTTTAGGGATATTTTATTTACTTACACCATGGCAAAAAGAAAAGGAAAAACTTCAAATATTTGGAAGCAAACCTAGAAACTAGTGGTGCTGTGGGCTGTCATGGCAGTCTTTGTAACACGCTCCTGTGCACATGAGGTAACCTTCAGGAGCTGTGCCTGTAACTTTTTGACAATGCTTATTTTCTGGAAATATTAGTGTATCACTTATCCATCTTCCATTTTTAATTATTCTGTATAATTTCCTCCAGGATAATTCTAAACAAAACAAATGAATAATCTAAGAATATTTTTTTCTACAATTATTACTGCATCCACGGGTTTCTGTTTGATTTTGCAGTGTTTCAGCAGTCTCTGAGATTTCCTGCAGTGCTTGTTGAGGCACACTTGTATTTTTTATTTCTGTGGCAAATTCAGAAACTGGGTCAATTTATTTTGTCATCTCTTCACTCTCTCCACATGTTTTTCTTTAGTTCTTCTTCTATTTTACCTTTAGAAGTCACTCATGATTTCTTTGTAAAATGTTTCTGGTTTTTCTGATTGGGGAATATGGAAACGATGACTTTTCATGGATAATGTGAACGGTGGGTATAATTTCTGGACTAAAATACCAGCCTCCTATGTCCTACATGGGGGCTGCCACGCTGAGGGGTGTGTGCCTACCATTTTGGTGATGTGACAGATGTGCATTTGGTCAGCACAGGGAGAAAAGGACATGACAGGGCACTATTTGCTTCCTCTCTGCAAGCATTTATATGGTCCACTGCAGCCAAAACATCAGGGAGAACTACTTTAAATAGCTGGAGTCCAGCTTGTTATTTTCTCTTAGTAATGAAAATTCATGATCTGCTTCATTTTCTGTATCACAGGCTCCAGGGTCAGACGTTAGGAGAATTTATGTAACTAAAAATAGAGGCTGGGACGGAAACAGGATCCAGGAAGAGGGCAGAAGCATTAACAGCTCCTGAGTCTGGCAGAGCTTTCTAGTGAGGCAAAAGGCAATGGATGAGTGTGGTTCATGAAGTGGTGGTTTGTTTTTTTCTGACTTCTCCCAGAGACTGCCTGTTTCCCCAAACACCCATCCTCTCCATAAATCAGAAAGGATTTGCATAACTTCTCCTGCTTGAGCTGTACGTGTGTCAGTCATCATTGCACTTCTCTGGCATTACCAGAGGCATCGTTTTCTGGCAGTTAGTGACTAAGTGGAAGTTTTGCTCCTGGCAGCACTGACTCATCCTGGCAAGGGTTTACCAGCCTGTGGTCTGGGCGGTGTGTGCCTCTGCCGAGGAGACTCACTGAACCCAGCAGACAGCTGCATGATTGAGAAAAGGGAAGAGCATTGCTGGAATGGATTAGGAAGGATTTACAAATCAATAGGATAATCAATAGAAGGCTGAGAGTAATGTGGTGCTAGATGAAAAAAAGACATTGTTTCAGGAGTATCTGCCTAGTTCTCATATTCAATAGCAAAGATTAATTGCTGTGAGCTGGTATAACACATGTTCCTGCTAAATCTCTCTTGTTATTCCTACCTGACCCAATGTTTTTTTTCCAAGGCAGATGATTTGAGGTATGTCAACTTTGCAGTCATTTCATTTTTTCAAGCACTATTCTTTTTTTAACGTCCCAGGCATAGAATGGCCTTACAAAAATACCAGATGACAAAAGCTTCAGTCATACCCTTTTGCAACAGCATCACCACTACTGAATGTATTGAAAAGCAAAGAGCAGCCAAGGCTGCCTTTTCTGATACATGAATCAAGACATGCCAATCAGCTGGATGCCGTCAGAGCCCAGCCTTGTGGTGTTCTGCAAGGGGCAGGTGCTGCCCACACAACAATGCACACACAACTTGATAAACAGATGGGATTTGCATGTGAAAATAAGTGAGGCTTCTGTTACCAGATTTATAAATGTGAGACCTCTTTTTTTTTTTTTTTAAGAGGTTTTAAAGAGATGAGCAGAATTTTTTTTGTTTGGTTGAAATAGTTTTTGTCTTGTACACCATGATATTATTTAATGCCAACGTTGATTATGGAACTCAAAGTAACTCCTTAAATGTGAATGGCGAAAGTTCTGTACCCATATGAAAGGACAATTCTTGAAAATTGCTTGTTTCTTTTGCTCAGAGGCAGAAATTCCTAGGCCTTTGTTTCTCCTGTATCAGGTCTGTAATTCAACTTTAAAAGAGTATGCTGAAGATACTGTTTTGTGTTGTTGACCAAACACTGACAGGGCCAGGATTTGCTACTCTGACTCTTAGATGGGACAGATTTAGCTATTCAGCTGTTGTTTTGTGATCTGTTCCTGCAATCCATTCTCTGTATGGTGTACTAGAAATACGCTCCACATAATGTCTATTTTTATTTTTCACGAATATATTCATTTTATAGATAAATTTACATAAAACCTTTCCTGAGTATTAAAGAAGTTGGGGTAATGATTTCTTTTCCTTAGTCATTTCCACGAACATTTGCTGCTGGCAGATGGTCCTGGAAACTGCAGTGCTGAAGTACTGCACAAAAGGTTAATGTGAAGGGCTAAATCCTTATCCTGTTTAAATTATTGTAAACGTCATCCACGGGCTCCAAATTTCTCTATATTCATTAGGAATAGGATTTGATGAGCACCGTAAATATTATTGCACGCATGTATACTGTAGTTAGGAGTTGAGATAACGTGTGAACATATGAGGTTATTTCAAAAAATCATCTTACAACTGTTTTGAGGCTCAGTCATCTCTTTTTTTTTTTTCCTTTTAGTGCATGCTTATGTTGCATTGTTTATTTTAACCAGTTGTTTATCTTCTCTCTGTCTTTTTTTTTTTGTGCGAGATGTCTAGCAGCTGGTACTTGGGGCTTTGTACTGAATTCTTAAGGGTACTCCTCAAGAATGCTGTGCTGCTTTTGTCCATTCCAGGGCAGCTTTTATCATTCAGGTTTTTAACTAACATTCTAAGCAAAGACCTATTAATGCCTCATGTAACATGTTTACTGAATGTTGCCCTACTTATGTTTTCTCTGTCTTCCAGAAAAGACTTTAAAAAATTAAGTTTAATTAGCGAGGTTGATTAAATTAGCATGATTTGCTTTGGCTGTCTCGTACTGTATATGCCAAAGTGAATTTGTGTCTGAAGCAGGCAGCAAGCAAGTTTTAGCCTGGATTAACAAGAAGTGTTTATAATCTTCATTCTACTGATTTTGCAGCTAAATAACAGGCCAGCACTCATATCTGCATGAAAACATGTGGGATATGCTCTTTTAAGATGCATCAGATCATACATAAGCTGCTCCAGAAAAGCCACATGTATTAAGATGTAAAATAACTACAAGAACAACACTGGCTCAGCAGTCTAAGTGCATTTTGCATTTGTAGGAAGAGCAAACCTCGTTTGTTGCACTGTTGAATGGAAGGGGCAGTTTGCAATAGTGCCAATGAAGTGAAGAATTCAGGACGCTTAGAGCATGGAGGGACCATGACATACAGGGCCCTGCTAGGCTGGAGCACATGCACGGAGACTCGCTAAGCAGTGATGGGGCTGATAAACCCTGGAGGCCGCAGTAAGTGCTCCCCTGGGGAAGCAGGCCTTCTACCTCTGGCTCCGGGGAGTGCAGTGCCAGTTGCACCCCTGCCGAGGACATGGACAGGCTCTGCGATTTGGCTCAAAGTCTGACAAGCTCTTGCTGAATATTTGCCTCACAGTACATCTTTTACTGGGTGTTGTGCTTAATTTCATTGCTCATAGACTGGATTAGGAGCTGATACTTGCTGATGTGAGAGTTGTGGTACTGAGGCTACCATGGATTTGGGGTACAGCTCGGAGGGTCCCATTATGTGAGGGAAATCCTGGGTGAGCACTGACAGAGAAGGGGTAGCTGGGGAGCACAGGCAGGTTGATCTGTGCTTACCCGTGCTGCTCAGGGGTCCCTTAGAGCCAGAGGTGGCGGCAGGGAAACACACTGCGCAGGGAGGCTCAACTGCCTCCACCGTCATCCGCTAACGGCAAGCCAGTTGTGACCCCAGTGTAACAAGATCAGAGAGCTACACAGGTATCGGATCTCAACAGGGATCAGAAACAATCCTTAGATCTCATTAATTTGAGTGTGTTTGAAATAAAAGCTAAAGAAAGAGCAACAACCCCAGAGATGGGTGTGCAACGCTTATGGGAATCTTGTGCCTAAGCAGAACTCCTCCTATTGTCCTCCTGGCTTTGCTGAAGCTTCTCTCAGGCTCTCTGGTGGGATAGATAATACAGATGATATGATTTATCATGTCAGCACATACTTAGAGAGTCCTTAATCTGAAGATTATTGTCATAATCGTTTGTAATGGTTCTTCTTAGCCGTTGCTGACTATCATATTAAGGCAAGTTTGCTTCCTAATACATGTAATATATTTTATGCTTCACATAGTATAGTCTATACGAACAGTAAATAAGCAGTAAAAAAATCTCCTGACAAAATCAGTGAAGTCTTAGTGAGTTCAGAGCAGTCTCTTAATCTCAGAATCCTTTTTTTTTTCAATAAAATCTTTCTGTGATTTTTGTTTCAGATTGCCTCTGCACGTTTCTTCATGTGCTTTTAGCACCATATAGCAATTAACCAAGCCAGGTGAATAGACAGTCTCTTTTCAGAATACAAAAAAAGATCTCTGCAACTAAATGAGCTGTCTTCCAAGGGTATTTGCTCTTTACAGTGGGAGTCCTGACATCATCTTAACAATAGCTATAGATCGACTGTCCCAACAAGCACCTACATTGCATTGTAATGTTGTGTCACACCATGTGATGCATCTGGTGGTAGTGACTGCTGTGTGGACTAGAATGAGCTCTAGCTGGCCACGCATGACTGCCTGCCACCTCCTGTCCCACAGGAACCTTGTCAGCTGTGGGCACAACACGGGAGGGCCAGGCACTGTGAAAGGGTTGGGGCACTGTGCTCTGGGAAACCCTGAAGTAGTCTTTAAGGGTCTAGACTAATGCATGAAGATGATCCAAATGTGTCTCATTCTCTGTGAGCTTGGTTTGTGCTACCCATGGTACGTTGGTGAACTGACTGGGGGGGGCATGAAATCTGGAAAATGTCCCCTGACTTAGTTTTGTGCCTGATCTCCTTGAGCATCTTTCTTTGTGCCTGGAGAATGTAATAATTCTAGGAAGTAAAAAAGAATGAACAATCTAATGTACATGATCTTTGTCTCCTGCCTACAGGCCTCTAGTTACCTATCCTTGCTGGTTTTTATTTTCTTTCCCATACATGTGTTTTTGTGGGGGCGATATTTTTGTGTTAGTTGTTTGTGTTCTGCTTGGTACTTGGTATGCCTTTGCCTATGGAAACAGCTGGCATGGGAAATATGCATTACCTTTTTCAAAAACTTGTGAAGATACAGCAAAACTTTTGCAACTCAGCTGATAAACATACGGTTTGTGGGTTTTGATATCTTTTCTCTTTACTTACATGTTTTGAGCAATACATCTTTATTTTGTGTAGTCTCATTTTAACAAGATGCCCTTCCCTGTACTTCATGGGCTGAAATAACAGAAAGAAGCAAAAATGACAATAGCATCAGCTCCAGAGATGCCAGTAAGAACATAGTGGGCCAAACTGTGTTCATCTTGCATGAACAAATGACTGCCTGAGTCTGATCAAGTTAAGTCTGAACCAAACTCTTTTCTTCATCTACATCAAAAACATATGCCTTCCTTTAAGTGTCAGAACATGCACAATGAGAACCATACAGGTCTTAAATTAGACTAGCAGAAAAAGTTAATCACAACAATTTCTGCCTGCCAGCTTTCATAGGCCTATTAGGAGAGGTGTAAGGCCTTCTGAAGCACTACATCCCTGTCCTCAGCTGCCCTCTACACCTTGCAGGCCTTAAGCTGATGTTCTAGTAGAGTGTAATGGTTTAGGAATTATCAAGAAAGAATATTGTAATTATGCATGGAAAACATGCCTGGGGAGGTATCTTAATAGTACTTGCTGCCATACAGAGGCAGACAGAGAGGGAGTGCATGTGCATGAATTGGCAAGCACGGGATGTGCGAGAAGGAGTTTTAGATAATCCTTTTTATAAAAATGATATGACATATGTATTTTAGACAATCCAACATATGTGTTTTTAAGAGTGCTGGAAAACACTGGAAAAAGGCCCCTTCCTTTATGACTTGTACTTGGAAAACTAATAAATGTTTACCTTCTGTCTTTATTAGTTTCAGCCTTTCTTGTAAAGACTCCTCTTTTGACGTATTTAGTGAAAATACAGTATTGTTGTATTTTATGTGTGTTTCACACTGTGTGTGACAGTATCTCCTGCATATTTTTTTTTACTTTTAACAAATCAGATGCTTGCTCTTACTAATTCTGAAAACATTAATTTTTCTTCGTTATTTTTCTTGAAACTGTGACATTACTAACTGTAACAAGTGCTCTGACATACCGCATTGAAAAACTCCGTGTGACTTTACTCACAGTTACTCAAGGCATATGTGCTATCTTTCATCATAACATTCGTGTACAGCAGGCTACTTGAGCATTGCAAACAGGGTACAGGTCAAAGAATAACCAATCAGTTTGGAATAACTCTGTTAATGTTCAAGAGAGTCTTCCTCTTATTTAAGGGATGTATTTCTAATATGATAATAACTAGTACTAAGCAAACTCTTTTAAAAGAGGTATTGATAGTATGCCTTGACGCTAGACCAGTCATTGAGCTGGATGTCACACAAGTACAATCTGCATGACAAGAGACAGAAGTTAATCCAACATACTTTTATCACCTGGGATTAAGGTAGTTTTCTCATCTGCTATACACCTGTCAAAATCAGTGTAATAAAAAAAAGTCTAAGTAGGAAAGATATTTTTTTTTTTCTCTCAGATGAAAGGACTATCCATTGACTTTGATGCATCCTGACAAATGAAAGACTCAGTTTTCTCAAAAGCATGCAGGCGAAAAGTACCTGAAGTGCAATCTCATCTTTTTCTTTTATGTGCATTTACTACTTTACTGCATGTACAGTGAGGGCCTGTAAGTAGCCCACTGCATGAGCACCAATTTGATTATGACTGTTTACATGCTTAGAAAATTAGAGCCAAAATGCACTCTGTCCATTTGAAAAAACAGGTTCAACTGTTCAGTTATGTAAGAGCAGCATCCTTCAGGAATTAATTGGTTACTTAGGACATCATAGGTCTTTATAAAAATGCACAAGATTTTACTGTGTCTGAAACTAATTGATTATAATGCTTGTGTCCCACAGGATGGGTTGACCCCTCTCCACTGTGGAGCAAGAAGTGGTCACGAACAGGTTGTAGAAATGCTGTTGGATCGTGGTGCCCCTATTCTTTCCAAAACCAAGGTAACTAGTACTGTCTTCTGCTGGGATAATCCTTGTACTTTTTTTTTTTTTTTTAATGTAACTCTGCATGTCTCATATATTTAAGGGTTTGACAATAACTTTCCTATTTCATAGCTATTTAAAGTAACTGTGTGGGAGATCTCCAAAGTGAATGCCGTATGTAGTGCACGTCTGCATATGTAAAATGTGTTGAGATACACAAGAAAAGGTTTCTGTGCCAACCAAAAAGGCCTGTGTGGTAACCCTATGCCTCAGAATTTCACTAGTTGAAAATCTCTGTGTCTATCCTGGAATAAATACATGGTGTTTACAATATATCTTCAGCTTGCACCAAATTACCCTAAGGCTAGAGTAGAGATAAGAGATAAAAATAGCGCAATGCCTCTTTGCAGAGACAGCTCATATTTCCTTAGGACTTAGCCTGATTACCAGTTTCTCCACTTTCTCTTTACAGTTTATCATGCAAAATTCTTCATGGGAATTTCAAATCAGCTGTGCCAGGGTGCACCAGATTGCTTTAGACTCAAGGGTTGGCATTAAAGCACGGACTTGCCAGAACTTTGCTGGTGTGGTCTCTGCTGTGCCGTTACTGCTGATTTTAAATCTCAGTGCAGCAGCCTGCTTTGTAGTGCCACTACAATCCATGACTTTCCCATTCAGGGTTGAAATTTGGATTGTGTAGGTTATTGAGGTTCTTTCCCAAGATAACCTTCCACTACATGTTTTCTCTCAGTCTGTAAGCAATATATTTCCAACAATGTTTCTTATTTCCTTCTATCATTTATTTCTCTCTGCTGTCATTCTGTCCTATTCTGTCTCAGTGCCCTTCTATATTCTACTTTTCTCCTTCCCCTTCTTTGTTTTTCTCCCCCCCGCCCCTTACTGGAATATATTTAGCATTTGTTTTGGGGAGGTTGGCACCAGCTTTCCTCTGCTCAGTGAGTCACTGGCAAGCGCTGTCACGGGTAATCTGACAGACAGGATCCACCCATCCTCTGCATGTGGAGTTTCCATGGACTCCCACAGCCCTGACTTGCAAACTTCACAAGCAGGGGGAGACAGGAAGGGGCTGTCTAGGAGCCCCTTGGGGTGCGTCTCCACACCGCTGCCTCTCTCAGAGCCTAGAGCTCGTACTCCGGGGAGTAAGGCTTTTCCATGCTCTCTGGTAGCTCAATTAATTACTTAAAGAAAAAAAACCATGAACCTCATTGTTTGTTTTCCACCATCATAAATGAGAACCTCTCCCAAGGAACTACATTTCTTTGTCACGTGGATTTCATATTGTCAGGTATTATCACTAAATTTCACCCGCGGTTTAAGGCCTATCGGTTTTGGATTTGTTCCTCTTCCTGAGGAAATTCACAGGGCCTGGCCCAGAGTTCACTGGCTAAAATCAGGCAGATGAGAACATGAGACAGTGGGTTTGAAATAGCCCAAGGCTGAAAGACACGCTTTGGACATTGACCTGCAGAGGCTTATATAAACACCTTCAGCAAAATGGGAGCCTCCTCTCTGAAAGAGAGAGAACTATGTTATGTGCTAAGAAGGGAACAGAAGAAAGTGCAGAGCTTCCCGAGTTTCCCTCTGTTGTGTTAATTCTGCTGGTTTTGGAAGGTAAGCTACAAAGTAGCGGTACCTCTGGATGACAAAAATGAATCCATTCATTTGGCACTAAACTACAGTATTGTCCTCTGCAAAAATAAGTGGCTCCATTCTCTTCAAATTAAGTCATATATTATTGTAAATGGGGCACATCTTTGAAAGAATTAGAACTTCACAAAGTTTTCTCGTGTTATATAAAACTCTTCCAGAATAACTGGACTGCAGTTTGATAGTTATTTCCTACTAGGGATTGTTCAGCGTAGTGCTGACCCTTTTTTGCACTGGAATAACCTTAGATTTATTTTCAGGGGAAGCGATGATCTAATGGATTATCTGGGGTTTTCTACAAGCAAAAGGAAAACCAGATTTTAGTCCTGAGTATGCCAATGATTTTCTGTGCAAGAAATGACATCTCTGTGAATCAATGTCCATTTATTTTTAATTACTGTTTTTCCAGGCTTGCTTGGCTCTTTTCCTTCCTTTTTCCTTCCTTTTTCCTTCCTTTTTCCTTCCTTTTTCCTTCCTTTTTCCTTCCTTTTTCCTTCCTTTTTCCTTCCTTTTTCCTTCCTTTTTCCTTCCTTTTTCCTTCCTTTTTCCTTCCTTTTTCCTTCCTTTTTCCTTCCTTTTTCCTTCCTTTTTCCTTCCTTTTTCCTTCCTTTTTCCTTCCTTTTTCCTTCCTTTTTCCTTCCTTACCTCCCCACCCCACCATTCAGAGTTAATGGCACTTTCCCTGATGAAAGTACTTTGACACAGCTACAAAATAAGCTATGTATCACTGATAATTTTATGTTTGCCCCGTCAGGCATTTGATACTCTATTTCACCTCTGTGGTTCTCTTCTGGTGATTTAGTTCTTGGTTTGTTGGGGTTTTGGGTTTTTTTAGGTATCATATGACTGTCAACATCTTTGATTAATCTTGAACTTCCTGACCTTTTAAGATTTTCTTGGCAATCTTCATCAAAACAGTAATATAACAGTGTTTATATGGTGGCGCCATCCTGAAGTACCAAATCACTTCTTACTGTTATTGGTGGATTGTCTCTCACAACATGGGTATGGGACAGGAGAACATGGTTATGTGTAATATTTTAATGTTAAAAAAGGGAAGACAGAGGCGTTGAAATATTAACTGGCTTGTGTAAGATTGCAGCGTATCTTCTACTGCAACAGAATTAAGAACAAGCCTGGTTTAGGTCATAACAAAAGACAATATTCCAATGATGTTTTGTATTCATCAGCTTCTTTAGCATCCAGTCTTGTCTCTTGCTCTTTCGTGTAAAGTCTGACTAGTTGCTGCACTTTTCTCGTCCATGACAGATTCTTGTCAAGCATCTTGCCGATTTTCCCAAATTGACATGTGGCTGCTCTGCTTCTTCCCTTCTTTTCCATCAGTGTCAGCCTCTTTTGTACAAGTCTCTCATATAAGGGAGTCCCATGTCATCTTCTCAGTTTCTTACTCCATTAATGTGTGGTTTATTGGCTGTTACTGTGAAGAATGACACTTTTCACCTCAAGGATCTTTCTTATAAAAATGGAACAGAAGAGTGTATAAAGTTTTATTATTTTTCACCTAAAAAGCACCATCAGTTAAAAATTGTTACCAGGAGGGCTTGGTGACTGAGGGAAATTAATCTTTTTTTTTTAACTCTACTGTTTAACTACACTGAAAGACAGTGAAAACATTTAAAATGCATTGCTAGTATCAAGCTTCCATGCAGATAATTGCTGTCGTAGCCTTTGGGAATGGGAAAGAGGCTTATCCAAGCCAACATAAATCACAAGTGAGATGCCCATGAGATAATCCTACTTGAAAGATCTAACTGTGTCCAAGAATGTCTGCTTCTCAGCACTGAATGTAAACTGCTTTCAAATTCTCACACTATTAGGCTGTTTGCTTTCACCATCCTTCTTCTATGTCACTTTTAAAAATTATTTCGCTGTGTATTTCCACCTTTATTTTGAATGTTTGTCATTACTGTTATGATATGGCCATGGGAAGGGGGAAGAAAGAAATCATCTGTTTCAGAAAACCTGAGCTGTTAGCTGGTTTTACGTTGCTACTTTGCCTTTGCTAACTACGGTCACATGAGGGCACTACATCTGTGAGCAAAAGTTTGTTTCTTCATGATGGCAAACATAGTGTACTGTCAGTCATTTAAGGATTATATACTATCGTGTGTTACCAGAATAGCTCCTGCACTTGAATCTAATTTTGGCATTAGAAGGACCAAGTAA